ATTTCTGGCTGAAGCCCATGCCCGCAGGGGGGGGGGGGGAGAGAGACTGGTGCACCCCCAGGTCTCCCTCCAGCAAGAGCCTGGTCCATTCCGAGGTTAGCTCATTGCACCACCTGATAGCTGAGGCTAGCTACGAACAAAGATCGGAGTGGGCTGGGGCCCTGTAGCCCAGTCAAAAATCAGGCCATTGGAGTTATGGTGACCGGAGCCTGTCACTCGCAGATGGCCCAGGAGGCGGTGATTTTACTGCGGGACGGAGGGCCACCTGCAGTCTAACCCATCCCTTCGTGAAGTGTGTGCATCACAGCACCAGCGGAGAGAGAGTGGGGAAGCAGAGGGGCAACGGTGCCCCAGTCCCGTCCTGGTAAACAAATGGTTTGTCTCTGCCCCTGAATTGTCATACAAAGGTCACAAGGTCGATTTGCCAACCTTCCAGCATCCGACAGCCAGTTATTTTCCATTTGGTCTCTTCAACCCATTTGCAGGTCTAGAGATCAATAGCAGGCCTAGTGTTGAATGAAAGAACAAGGCATTGAAGGAAAGGTCCAGTTTCTTGTCAGGGACTTCTCCCATCGTCCCTCAACACATGGACAAGATGGAGTCCCCAGGTAAAGGCTGAGTCCTTGATGGCTTGGACCCATCTGAGGATGGTGAAGAAAAAGAAGCAGCTTTCTTTCCCCATCCTAAGAATTTGTGATCTTCCCTTTCAGGTCCCATCCCTCTCTGGGGTCAGTCCCGATCTTCCTGCCCCAAGAGGGAGCAAAAACTTGCTGGTCTTTGGGCTTTCTCTGTCCCTTTAAATACGGCATTCTAGCAGAGGCGGGAGATGGTAAACCTTTTGTCTTCCTTTGGCCAGAGAGCCATCTGCATTCCTAAGTGCTGGACTGTTCTGTGCTTAACTCATCCCTTCGGCACCTTTCCTTTTGGGACATCTACAAAGTGGCAGCCAGGTCCCGGCCCATGAACAGAGTGCAGTCTCAGTGGTTGAATTATTGGGGTGAATTCTAGGGCAGGGGGCATTTCTTTACCAACTGCCTGAAGCTCTTAATCGGTGATGCCATTAACTCTTCCCTGCTTGGTTTGGTTCGGCCATATGTCACGGCAACCTCCAGTGGATTTCTTCATTGCCACAGCTGAGCTAGCTTGGGGGTTCACTGGCTATAGAATCCGGGCCAAGGGGTTGTTCAAGTAAAAGAAGGAGCAATAAAACAAATTCTTCCAGAATCCCCTCCTGGGTCATTTCCCTCCCTCCTTCAGAAGCTGAGTGGACTGACAATACTTCATCCGGTGATGCATACGGGAGAGCATCAAAGTCTTTCTTGTGGTACTCGGTCAGTCTGGGTGGGCAAAAGCCCTAGCCCTTTCGGTCAGTCTCCAGTACGATTGATTCATCTCTGCGTGGTGCGTGTGCAGCTAACAGCCAATCAGGGCCCACAGAGGGCTGAAGGACCCGGATGGGAGAAGGGAAGCAGCAAAACCACCCGTCAGATAAGCACATCGGAGCCTCCAGAGGCTGAGGTCAAAGGGCGTGGAGGGACTTCAGTTGCTGAAGGCTGCTCCTGCCAGGATGTGGACTGGAGTAGGCCGTAGGAACCGTGTCATTCCAGCCTTGGCCTTTCTGTACTGTGACTCGCAGATGGCCCAGGAGGGGGTGATTTTACTGCGGGACGGAGGGCTTCGTGAAGTGTGTGAATCACAGCACCAGCGGAGAGAGTGTGGGGA